TCAATGTTGAAAACAGTCGTGCTGCACAATATTTTTGTGGAAACCGTGACGCATTTTATTTTTCAGGATTCACAGATGAACAGAAAGTTCAAAAGAACAGCATTTATTTGAAATAGAAATCTTTTGCAATATTATAAACATCTTTACTGTCACGTTTGATTTGTGATTTGAATTTAATGCGTCCTTAATGAATACTTTTTTTTTTTTTTTATATTTTTTTTATCTTTTTGTATAAAAATATGGATGGATATCAAATTAAAATATTGTATAATTGAGATACTATTTTATTTTTTGTTATTTTAAAGATTTAATTATTCTGGTTTCATGTTAATTTCAGTTAAAGGTTTAGTACTTTTGTCATTTTTATTACATATTTTATTATTTTTGTAATTTTTTAAAAATATGTCTATATAAAATATTTTTACGTTTTTATTTCAGTTTTAGTTAGAGAAATGTTGCTTTGTTACTAGCTAAAAATTCAGTTTAATTTTTTTATATTTTATTTTATTTTAAAAAAATTATTTAATTTTATTTAACTATAGCAGCTCTGATTTTAACCACTAAGTTTTTACAATAAAATTCCATTTTAACGTGTTAGTCGAAGGCCTTCTCAGTTATTTACCGCGGTTATTCCCGTCTTTCAGTCATTATGTTACCATGTTTTTCCGTGTTCATTGGTCGTGTTTCGTTTCTGAGATCAGCGCTCAATAATAATCTGCATTACAGCTGCGGTGAAAGTTGCAGGTCCTGCATTAAAGTGAGAAACGAGTCTTCAAACGCACTTCCAGTCATCCTCCGCTCGATACGAGCAGCTCTGATTTTAACCACTAAGTTTTTACAATAAAATTCCATTTTAACATGTTAGTCGAAGGCCTTCTCAGTTATTTACCGCGGTTATTCCCGTCTTTCAGTCATTATGTTACCATGTTTTTCCGTGTTCATTGGTCGTGTTTCGTTTCTGAGATCAGCGCTCAATAATAATCTGCATTACAGCTGCGGTGAAAGTTGCAGGTCCTGCATTAAAGTGAGAAACGAGTGTTCAAACGCACTTCCAGTCATCCTCCGCTCGATACACATCCGTCATCTGCTCTTTTTTAATCTGTACTGTCAGTGATCAATATCCCCTCACTTATACCACTTTAATCAATCGCTCTGATCGCTTCGATCCCGCAAACACTCGCAGCTAAATTAATTTACTGACTGAATACATTAGCAGCCACACTGATGAATGCTGTAACACACGGCGACTTGAGTTTGTGTTCATCTGCTGGAGATGTTTGTGGCTCTAGAGCCGATGATGGGAATCAGATGAAGCTGTAATGAAGATGTGATGTTTATTCTCTGCTGCTCTTTTGACCCAAACACTGAAGCTGTTCACTGAAGTCTGCATTTAAGATCTGTTTGACAGTCCGCGCATATTCAGACTCGCCGTGTCATGATATTGTGTTACAAAACACACAAGAACCAAAGATGTTTGGTGTCACTGATGATGCACCAAGTCTGAAAGTGTGCTGCTTGATCCTTGAAGAGTATGGACACGTGTTTCTGGCAAAGCATGAAAGGTATAAAAGGATTTTTGCAATTATGCAAGGTACAAACTCAGAATTGCATGATATAAACTCGCAGTTCTGAGAATAAAAGTCTGTAGTGTGAGGTATAATCTTGCAATTGCTAGAAAAAAGTCAGAATTGTGAGATATAAATTCACAATCACAAAGAAAACGTTAAAATTGTGAGAAAAGTCATAATCGCAAGAAAAAAAGTCAGAATTGTGACATAAATTCACAATCACAAGGAAAGTCAAAATTGTGAGAATATATTCTTGCAAGATAACTAGAATTGTGAGAAAAAAGCCAGAATTGCGAGAAAAAAGTGTGTGTGTGTGTGAGAGAGAGAGAGAGAGAGAGAGAGTGTGTGTGCGTGTGTGTGTGTGAGAGAGAGAGAGCGAGTGTGTGTGTGTGCGTGTGTGTGTGAGAGAGAGAGAGAGAGAGTGTGTGTGTGTGTGTGTGTGCGTGTG